AAGGCAATGCCGCCCAAAGGATGCGCCGCAGGAATGAAGACCTATGATCCACTGATGTCTCTGGATCAGAAGGGAAGGAATCGGATCCAGCGTCGCTGAGAGACCTGCTCAGACACACACAACGCATTCACAACGTAGCAGAGATACAGGATTAGTCACAAAAATATGAGTTAGTCCAGAAGAACACATCTGTGGTTCTGCTGCCTCATCTCAGTCTTTGATTGTATAACTTCAACTCCAAGGCTAAACAACAGCATTTTATTCTTAAGGGAGAGATTACTTTGGGGAAATAGGAACATTTTTTGATAATGTCACTTTCTTTAATCTGTATGAAATATTTTGTTCTAGATTGTAATTATGTTTGCTTTATTTTCAGGTAGCATTTTGCTTTTTCTGGCATACAGCAAACCTTAAGTTGGCTAATATTTCCTCCTGCTATAAGGCCAATATATACAGTAGCATTTGGTTAAATGTAAGTTACAGTTGTACATGCTAATTTTGGGTTTTAGTGCTTTCTATTTAATCTCTGGCTGTTTCTTGACTAAATATTTGTATAATATTAGAAAAGGTTAGTTAAAGAGTTCAGATAGCACAACCCTTTCATTGACTAGCATGTTTAGCTAGCTATAGTTCTGTATATTTAAAATCAAATTAAGTTTATTAGCATTTTAAATTATATTGCTATTATTACAGAAGCCTTTGTAGATGTTTTCCTTTCTGACAATTCTAGGAAATTTTTATCATCATTTTCACGGAACCATTTTACTTTCTAACTAACTTTAATTTAAAAATGTCATATCCATGATGTTGACTTTTTTACCATGTTACACTTTTCCTTTTTGTTTTTTCAATCCAAATAACACCTCAGGGCAGTGACATAGCCACAGTATGGTAATGCTTTAGAGTTAGCCCCATGCTGCGCTCAACAACATTGTCAACATGGATTGAAACAATGTTGAATCAATGTTTGACATTGTTATCTTCTGTACATGCTGGCCGGGTGAATAAACACCACTACAAAGACAGTCACAAAACAGTGAACAAGGCATACAATACATTTTTATGTACTAGACAAATATTGATTTGAGGCATGTGCTTGCATTTCTGTGCAAAACGTGTGAGGAGCAGAAGACAAGAGGCATGCTGCAAATATCAGCAAATCAAGTTGTTGTTTAAACTTTAGTCAAGTTTGAGTCCTGTTGAAAAATGCAAAGCATGCCAAGCAAAAAGATCATCATCGTCATTAGAAAAAGTCGTTTAAGCATTTCTTAAAGGGACAGGTAAAGGTAAGAAGGCTAAAAGTTAGAGTACAGTAGTGAAACTATTTGGACTTTATTATTTAATACAGTTATTTTAATTATTAAATTAAAAAACATTTAATTATATTAATGTAGATTTTTTACTCAGGTTTTTAACCCTTTCATATAAACATAAAGTATAATTATGGGCTTCTGTGTTTTAATCAAGTTCCGAGGTAACTGAAGACCATCGGGCTCATATAAAACATGGGTCTTTTGGCGTGATTATGATTTCAGAACCTCAATCTCAATGGTTTTTACTGAAGTGGTGAATAACTGGAGCCATCCAAGGACCTTTAAAAAGCAAAATAACGATTAAAGGATGAGGTGACCCTTGTTTTAGAATTAAAATGAGGCATGAGAGGCAAGGCTCACTAACAGGACATGGAGGGGGGAAGAAATGATGTATAGTCAGTTGAGGACCAGCAACAGCATTAGAAGAAAATGATGAGAAAAGGAAAAAAAAGTCACACGTAAAAGAGCAATAAAGAGAGAGAGAAAGAGAAACTGTGGCCTTTGCATTGTTCATTGCAGACATGTACTGGAGTGACGGTCCCAGAGCGAAGGAAGTATGTGCACTCAGTTATAGCAAGGAATAGTTAGGCATATAGAAATGTTTGTTTAATACATAAGAAGTGCTTCCTGGTTAGAAATTATAAGCAGCCGAGGACGTCGGCAGAGAGGAAGCCTAGAAACTTTCACTGTCAAAGATGTTTGGGCTGCCACTCACCTCCACATCTATCCTACACAAAGTATCTAGACGTACAGAAGATGATGGAATTCAGTCTCATTAACTGCTAATCTTCCATGCATTAAAATACTAATCTTAATCCCACAAAACTCTGCTGTTGTATCACAGTTGGAACGGCGATTGCAAATCCTGAATCAACCTCCAAGTGCATTTCAGGCTTGTGAGTTCCATTATCTTCTGGGTGTGCTAGAAACCAACAGAAATGTACCTGTGGTGTGGACTGCTCACACAGGGTCCAGGCTGTGACAGACTACATTTGCCCCGTAGCTGTTTGCAATGAACAGGGAAGGGGGGTAAAAGAAAGAAAGTATGTTTCAGTCCAGGCAAATCAAGACATGGCTACCGATGAAGAGAAATCCCAATAATGAGAAAAGGGCAGCAACTAAATCACATGTAATGGTGACAGATTTTGCAACTGTGATAAGCTAATTTTGCTTTAGCTTGTGAATACAACAAGAAGCTGCAGATGATGCAATCTGATATAACGTGCTTGTTTGGATTGATCTGCTTAATTATTTACAGTATAAAACAAGTACTGTGCTTGTTATCAATCCAGTCATTCTTTAGAGTTCTATGGTGAAACAGTGAAAAGATAAAAGGAGAAATAGTGTTCACTATAAATAATAATAAGTCAGTGCGTTCTGTCAGCAGGGAAAAAAGGTCCAACATTGACCTAATTGATTCATTTTCTATTAGTCCAGACTTCAAAGCGTTGCTACAAGTGCAATGCAACATTAACCAGTCTCTTTGGTGCTCACACTAAGTACCCTAAATTAATTAAGTTTCATTGACAAAGGTCCAGGGTGTCGGTCATTGGAACTTTATGGAATTACTGTTTTAAACATGTGTGGTTCCTCTTGCATTGCATTTGCAAACACATTTTCAGCACACCAGCAGGCACAGTCTAATGATCTCCCTCTGTTTTGGACCAAATGTTGTTTTTTCCCCAATAACAGATCAAACACTTCTGTGTTTTTAAAAATAACACTTTCTGATTGGAAATAGCTGTATTTCTCCTACAGGGAATGGGAGAAAAAAGGAAAGTTAATTGGAAGGTTGTACGTTTAGGAGATATTTTAGTTGATAGAAAGCGTAAAGTTAAAAAGTTAGAAACTAGTAAGAACGAAAGGAGAATTAAAAATATTCTCTACTTCTCTTGCAGTATCAACAAGGAGTAGACAACGTGCAGAAGAAAGAAAAGTCTGGAAAAGTTTAGGAGCCAAAGGATGTGAAAGTAGAGGAGTGGAGAAAGTGGGAGGACAGGTCTTGGGATGACAAGGGTGAATCTAGCCTTCAGCAGGGCATTAAGGCACCAATCCTGAAATACACTGTCTGCCGGGTGTTAACAGATGGGTACAGGTGGGTGGAAATGTTACCGATCGTCGACGACTCGGCGTGCTCCTTCCTGACACAGGGCTGAGGGAACCAGAGGTGTCCAAGTCATCAGCTGATGACCAAGACGACAGATCCTGGAAAAGTAAAAGGTTCATACAAATATGAACAGAATGAGAACATTTTCAGCCCACAGAAAAAAAATGTATTAGACTGTGTTTATTTACATTAGCCTTTCTCTTTATTTTGCAAATCATCACTTACATCTCCTTCTGCTTCCATGCACTGGTAATCAAACTTACTTTTAAATAAGTGAGTATAATACAAATGTCACTGGATAGCTTCTTTAAAAAGGGAGAAAGGCCTAACGATAAGACAGCAGAAGGCTCCAAAAGTGAAACTTATGTAAAATTAAATAAAGGCTACCTGTTGGCTGCTAGAGATGTCCAGGATCTTAGCCAGCTCTCTGAGGTCTCTGGTAACTTCTTTTAGCAGCAGTTTGAGTCGGTTTCCAATAACATGGACTTTCTCTTTGGCCTCGAGGCAGTCGGTGCCCTGAGAGTTGACCAGCAGCTGGAGGGACATGTCTTGTAGGGAGGCGACCTTCAGCTGGGAGTCCAGAAGCTCCTGGCGGATTTGCTGTGCGGATAAGATCTAATTAATCACTTCATCACAAAGTAATAAGAATGACCAGTTCTGGAGGACTACATACAGTATACATGACAGTGACTGAC